TTAACCCGTGATCGAAGTAACGCGGGCGCAACAGAAGGCTTAACAGCTGTTAAAGTTTCTTGAACGTTCATTACATATTGATGTTATGTGATAGATATTTGTTATCTTATTGATTTGATTCCGGTTAAAAAATTGTAATTTTAGAATTACAAAATAAACAGGTTTTGGACTGAGAAAAGGTCGTTCGCCCCATAGTGCAGCGGATCACAGTAAACAAAAACTATATACAGGGGCCGTTTTCACCGCCAGTACGTTCATCATTCCTCTGTGCCTTGCAAAATGGCCGACTGCAAGCAACGACCATGGCCCCCTTATCGACAATGTATTAATCTTATACACTGGCAGAAAACTAAAACTAAAAGTACTTGTTAGAATTCAATTTACTATAATTATATGATTTGTTTTAATAAAACAGTTTTTTGGGACACCACAGTTACTTTCTACAATCCACGATCACCAACATATTTTAAAAACCTCAGAATATGGATTTACTGTTAAATAAATTACACATATTAATTTTTTATTTAACTTGTCACTGTAAGCTTTCATATATTTAAACGATAACCCGTGATTGAAGTAACGCGGGCGAAACAGAAGACTTAACAGCTGTTAACGTTTCTTGAACGTAACATTACAAATTGATGTTATGTGATAGATATTTGTTATTTGATTGATTTGATTCCGGTTAAAAAAATTGTAATTTTAGAATTACAAGATAAACTACTATTGGGCTGAAAAAAGGTCGTTCGCCCCATAGTGCAGTGGATCACAGTAAACAAAATCAATATACAGGGGCCGTTTTCACTGCCAGTACGTTCATCATTCCTCTGTGCCATTCAAAATGGCCGACTGCAAGCATCGACCATGGCCCCCTTATCGACAATGTATTAATCTTTTACACTGGCAGAAGAATAAAACTAAAAGTACTTGTTAGAATTCAATTTACAATAATTATATGATTTGTTTTTTAATAAAACAGTTTTTTGGGACACCACAGTTACTTTCTACAATCCACGATCACCAACATATTTTAAAAACCTCAGAAAATGGATTGACTGTTAAATGAATTACACATATTAATTTTGTATTTAACATTTTGTCACTGTAAGCTTTCATATATTTAAACGATTAACCCGTGATCGAAGTAATGCGGGCGCAACAGAAGGCTTAACAACTGTTAAAGTTTCTTGAACGTAACATTACATATTGATGTTATTTGATAGATATTTGTTAGTTGATTGATTTGATTCCGGTTAAAAAATTGTAATTTTAGAATTTCAAAATAAACTAGTATTGGGCTGTGAAAAGCTCGTTCGCCCCATAGTGCAATGGATCACAGTAAACAAAATCAATATACAGGGGCCGTTTTCACTGCCAGTACGTTCATCATTCCTCTGTGCCATTCAAAATGGCCGACTGCAAGCATCGACCATGGCCCCCTTATCGACAATGTATTAATCTTATACACTGGCAGAAAACTAAAACTAAAAGTACTTGTTAGAATTCAATTTACAATAATTATATGATTTGTTTTAATAAAACAGTTTTTTGGGACACCACAGTTACTTTCTACAATCCACGATCACCAACATATTTTAAAAACCTTAGAAAATGGTTTGACTGTTAAATAAATTACACATATTAATTTTTTATTTAACTTTTTGTCACTGTAAGCTTTCATATATTTAAACGATTAACCCGTGATCGAAGTAACGCGGGCGCAACAGAAGGCTTAACAGCTGTTAAAGTTTCTTGAACGTTCATTACATATTGATGTTATGTGATAGATATTTGTTATCTTATTGATTTGATTCCGGTTAAAAAAATTGTAATTTTAGAATTACAAAATAAACAGGTGTTGGACTGAGAAAAGGTCGTTCGCCCCATAGTGCAGTAGATCACAGTAAACAAAACCAATATACAGGGGCAGTTTTCACTGCCAGTACGTTCATCATTCCTCTGTGCCTTGCAAAATGGCCGACTGCAAGCATCGACCATGGGCCCCTTACCAACAATGTATTAATCTTATACACTGGCAGAAAACTAAAACTAAAAGTACTTGTTAGAATTCAATTTACAATAATTATATGATTTGTTTTTAATAAAACAGTTTTTTGGGACACCACAGTTACTTTCTACAATCCACGATCACCAACATATTTTAAAAACCTTAGAAAATGGTTTGACTGTTAAATAAATTACACATATTAATTTTTTATTTAACTTGTCACTGTAAGCTTTCATATATTAAAACGATTAACCCGTGATTGAAGTAACGCGGGCGCGACAGTAGACTTAACAGCTGTTAACGTTTCTTGAACGTAACATTACATATTGATGTTATGTGATAGATATTTGTTATTTGATTGATTTGATTCCGGTTAAAAAAATTGTAATTTTAGAATTACAAAATAAACAGGTGTTGAACTGAAAATAGGTCGTTTGCCCCATAGTGCAGTGGATCACAGTAAACAAAAACTATATACAGGGGCCGTTTTCACTGCCAGTACGTTCATCATTCCTCTGTGCCATTCAAAATGGCCGACTGCAAGCATCGACCATGGGCCCCTTATCGACAATGTATTAATCTTATACACTGGCAGAAAATGAAACTAAATTTACAATAATTATATTATTTGTTTTTAATAAAACAGTTTTTTGGGACACCACAGTTACCTTCTACAATCCACGATCACCAACTTATTTTAAAAACCTTGGAAAATGGTTTGACTGTTAAATGAATTACACATATTAATTTTTATTTAACTTTCTGTCACTGTAAGCTTTCATATATTTAAACGATTATCCCGTGATTGAAGTAACGCGGGCGCAACAGAAGACTTAACAGCTGTTAAAGTTTCTTGAACGTTCATTACATATTGATGTTATGTGATAGATATTTGTTATCTTATTGATTTGATTCCGGTTAAAAAAATTGTAATTTTAGAATTACAAAATAAACAGGTGTTGGACTGAGAAAAGGTCGTTCGCCCCATAGTGCAGTGGATCACAGTAAACAAAACCAATATACAGGGGCAGTTTTCACTGCCAGTACGTTCATCATTCCTCTGTGCCTTGCAAAATGGCCGACTGCAAGCATCGACCACGGGCCCCTTACCAACAATGTATTAATCTTATACACTGGCAGAAAATGAAACTTAATTTACAATAATTATATGATTTGTTTTTAATAAAACAGTTTTTTGGGACACCACAGTTACTTTCTACAATCCATGATCACCAACTTATTTTAAAAACCTTAGAAAATGGTTTGACTGTTAAATGAATTACACATATTAATTTTTTATTTAACTTTCTGTCACTGTAAGCTTTCATATATTTAAACGATTATCCCGTGATTGAAGTAATGCGGGCGCAACAGAAGGCTTAACAGCTGTTAAAGTTTCTTGAACGTTCATTACATATTGATGTTATGTGATAGATATTTGTTATCTTATTGATTTGATTCCGGTTAAAAAAATTGTAATTTTAGAATTACAAAATAAACAGGTGTTGGACTGAGAAAAGGTCGTTCGCCCCATAGTGCAGTGGATCACAGTAAACAAAACCAATATACAGGGGCAGTTTTCACTGCCAGTACGTTCATCATTCCTCTGTGCCTTGCAAAATGGCCGACTGCAAGCATCGACCATGGGCCCCTTACCAACAATGTATTAATCTTATACACTGGCAGAAAATGAAACTAAATTTACAATAATTATATGATTTGTTTTTAATAAAACAGTTTTTTGGGACACCACAGTTACCTTCTACAATCCACGATCACCAACATATTTTAAAAACCTCAGAAAATGGATTGACTGTTAAATGAATTACACATATTAATTTTTTATTTAACTTTTTGTCACTGTAAGCTTTCATATATTTAAACGATTAACCCGTGATCGAAGTAACGCGGGCGCAACAGAAGACTTAACAGCTGTTAAAGTTTCTTGAACGTAACATTACATATTGATGTTATTTGATAAATATTTGTTATTTGATTGATTTGATTCCGGTTAAAAAAATTGTAATTTTAGAATTACAAGATAAACTACTATTGGGCTGAAAAAAGGTCGTTCGCCCCATAGTGCAGTGGATCACAGTAAACAAAAACTATATACAGGGGCCGTTTTCACCGCCAGTACGTTCATCATTCCTCTGTGCCTTGCAAAATGGCCGACTGCAAGCATCGACCATGGCCCCCTTATCGACAATGTATTAATCTTATACACTGGCATTAGAATAAAACTAAAAGTACTTGTTAGAATTCAATTTACAATAATTATATGATTTGTTTTTAATAAAACAGTTTTTTGGGACACCACAGTTACTTTCTACAATCCACGATCACCAACATATTTTAAAAACCTTAGAAAATGGTTTGACTGTTAAATAAATTCCACATATTAATTTTTTATTTAACTTTTTGTCACTGTAAGCTTTCATATACTTAAACGATTAACCCGTGATCGAAGTAACGCGGGCGCAACAGAAGGCTTAACAGCTGTTAAAGACACTTAGTAAGCATGCAAGCTAACAATCTGGCAGCACGCCGGTAGTTCAATTTTCCTCGTATTCTGTCCTATATTTTCCATCGCGCCTACTAACACCTAACCCAAACAGGCACGTGCCTGGTGTCATATGGGCCACTTGTATGTACTGACCTTAGTGCATCAACGTCCAAGTATAAAATAATAAATGAACTTTTAATTTATAGAAGGGTTTTCTCCAAATACTTGGGTTTTCCCTTGGTACCTGGATTAAATACAGTGAATAATGCTATGATATAGTCGACCGTAGGCCGCCATTAATGTAGAATAATTTTTAAAATAATAAATTATTTAAAATAACTTAAAATACGCGAATTGATTTTGCAAAGGCCAAAATACTAGCTCATGCTAAATGATAAGGATTCTTGGTGCCAGGCTCTGGAAATATAGCTAGATCTGTCTAGAAATAGCTAATTTGGCAACACTGTCTGTCAAACTAGCACCCAGCAAAAAATACCACCTTTATGGAACTAGATTAATCGAACCAGTAGTATGCTTCAAATGCCATCTCGAACAAACTTTTTTTAATTCTTTTATGAAAATCGGTGTGCAAATTAAGATTTAAATAAGAAGCCGACGAGATACGTGTGAAAAATGGTTAATAACTCGGGTCTTTCGACTGTTGATGACTTGGAGAAAAAACTGAACACTGCCAAGCAGTCCCTGGTAATCCTAAATGAGAATATTCGCCGCATATCTGGTCGCGTCCATGTCCATACGAAGGATGCCCCCCATGCCCTGCAGAGATGCAAAGAAGAACAACGACAACAACGGCGGCGACAACAGGCAGTTCATGCGGAACGGTCCCGGGAACGGCCCCTTCAACAACAAGCGCCGCATATACGACTCCAAGTCGGTGACTCCCCGGTTTCCCATCGAGGAGAACGAAGGTCGTCCCCCGAGGATAAACTCCAGAGTCATTCGGGAACTGCCATCCAAAAAGGAGGTGGTAGAAGCGCAGGGAACAGATTCCGAGTCGCGGGCCCGAAATCGCAGGATGTTTGGATCTCTGCTGGGCACATTGCAGAAGTTCTGCCAGGAGGAATCGCGTCTGAAAAGCAAGGAGGACAAGAAAGCCGAGATAGAGAAGAATGTGGAAAAGCAGGAGCTGCAGGAAAGGGCACTACTCAGGAAGGAGCGCGAATCGCTCTTCTTAAATAGGAAACAGAAGCAATTTGAGATCCGAAGATCGGAATATAAAATGGCCCGACTGAAGGACTTCAAGAGCTGGGAAGCAACGATGATATATTCCAAAAATAATATAAGAACCATAACTAAACCCCATCTCTTCTATCGGCCAAAAGCGCACTCTGCGATAACGGAGAAATTGCTAAGTAAAAGCAAAGGTGATGCCGACATCTTTATAGAATGCCGGCGCGAAGAATTAGAGGCCGAGCTCAGAAACTTGGAAAACATCAGCTTTATGAAAATGGAAGGCGGCGATAGCAGCATGATGGACACCAGCTTCTATGATGAACCCGATGATGATGATGAGCTATTGGGAAGTGGGGCCAATCGATAAGTGCTATCGCGGCACGGACACACTGGAAGCGAAATCAACACGGATGATTTCGCAAATAATTTCTTTGAAAAAGGAAAAACTAAGAAATGGGCGATGTGGACAAGTGGATCGAGACGGTGAAAGAGTGCAAGTACCTGCCGGAGAATGAGCTGAAGAATCTGTGCGAGATGGTGTGCGACATACTGCTGGAGGAGTCAAACATTCTGCCCGTGAGCACGCCCGTCACCGTCTGCGGCGATATCCATGGCCAGTTCTATGACCTGGAGCAGCTATTCCGGACGGGCGGCCAGGTGCCGGACACAAACTACATATTCATGGGCGACTTTGTGGACCGCGGCTACTACTCACTGGAAACATTCACCCGCCTGCTGACGCTCAAGGTGCGCTACCCCAATCGGATAACGCTACTGCGCGGCAACCACGAGACGCGGCAGATCACCAAGGTCTATGGCTTCTTCGACGAGTGCTTCAGCAAGTATGGAAATGCCAATGGCTGGAAGTATTGCTGCAAGGTGTTTGATCTGCTCACCATAGCCGCCATCATCGACGAGGAGGTTCTGTGCGTTCACGGCGGACTGAGTCCCGAGATCATCACTCTTGACCAGATCCGGACAATCGAGAGGAACGGCGAAATACCCTACAAGGGTGCATTCTGCGATCTAGTGTGGTCCGATCCCGAGGACATGGAGTTCTGGGGCCAGAGTCCACGTGGCGCTGGCTGGCTGTTCGGTCATAATGTGACCAAGGACTTTATGACGATCAATAACCTGGACCTGATCTGTCGGGCGCATCAGCTAGTCAACGAGGGCATCAAGCACATGTTCGAGGGCAAGCTGGTGACCGTGTGGTCGGCGCCCAACTACTGCTATCGATGCGGCAACGTGGCGGCAATCCTCAGCTTCGATACGGCGAAACAGCGGCAGGCGACGATCTTTCTGGCGGTGCCGGATGCGGAGCGGGTGATACCTAAGCAGAACACGACGCCGTACTTCCTCTAAACCGATGTGATTCGAACCGAACCAAACCGATCCGCCCACCATTCAAGCTGGGGAGATTATAGATGTACGCTTCTTGGACACGGCGTGGAGAGCAGCCTTCGAGCCGAAGCCAACTGTCTACGTTAGCCGCCTTTATCGCCGCCTTTACCCAACCCCCACTCCAAAACACACGCCCACAAAGGCACTGTCAACGCACACACAGGCCCACACCTGCAATATGCGCTCCTACTTTTGTTATGGCCAAAAACATATCTATTTTACAAGGTCAACAAGTAAATCCCATTGACAATTTAAATTTAAAACAAGTATTGCATTTACTGATGTTCAAGCAGAAGCTACATATATGTATATGTATATATATATTTTGTATTCCAAAAACCTATTTATTTCCGTGTGGAAAAAACAAGAATAGCACAACCCTGGAATAAGAATATTAATTGTTCACGTCAGAAGGCCCTTCGCGGCGGCCGCGGCGCCGCCTCTGTCCGTCGAGCCTCCAAAGCTTTGGCCGCTCTTGCACTCCCGCAAGTCGGCTCTTCGCGCACTGCTTATCGGGCTAGTCTAAGCGCCCCCGCGCCCACTCTTCGATGTTCGCGAACGCCCGCTCCCGAGTTCCCGAGCTTCGCTCGCTGCTAACCGAGCTGAGGGACGGCTAGTTCGAGCTCCACTTCTCGGGCCCGCTCTCGCACTGTTAAGCGTAGCTTATCGGTCGGGAGCGCGGCCCTTACATTTAAGCTATTTTAGTCTTATGTATGCAGCGCAATAAAGCTGACCATTTGATTTGCCCACGACGCCCCCGTCTTTTACTTTTCACCTTCGCTTGCGACGTGGGAATTTCCATTGGGCTACATTTGACAAGACAGGATCTTCAGCGGCAGGATCGCCCCCCTACAAACATTGGTCCTTCGAGCCGGATACGGATATCCTTCCGTCCTTTCACTAGCAGTTCCCGGTGATTTTTCCGCTGAGATAAGTATATGCTTGATTCCGTCTTGTTCTCGCTGCCGGTCTTAGACAGTGGGCCGAACATTTAATTTCGGTCGCACCGCTGCAAAATTTATTGTTTTGTTCGTGTCAACTCCCCGTCCGAGTTTTCCTGACACCACGGCAGTGAGAAATCCCACTTTCTATTCGCCTCCGAACCTCGAAATTTTCCATCCGTGTCCGTTTTGTGTGCGCCGCCATCCTCCTCGCCGTCTCTTCGATTCCCCGTTGTTCATCCACTTGCCAACGGTCGAGGCCTATGTGCAGCCACATACACACACACGCATTCTAAACTTGTGCTAATATTTCCGTACAAAAAAAGTTCTCCGTGAACAGTGAAAGTGTGTTTCAAAAAGAAAGGCATAATTAATATTGGCCAGCCGGTGTGCGCTTGTTGCGGGAATTCACCCTGATCGCCGACCAGTCTGCCGCTGTCACGATATTTTTTGTATGCTGTATCCATACCCATTTTTTCTGTTCGCACAATTTAATACAGTCCACTTCTCGACGCTCCACTGTGCCAATACAAACCCTAAAGTTTTCAAGAAACAAATTTCGTCAGCCAAGGATTTAAAATAATCCGAATTTTATAAATCCTATTTTTTATTTATATCAAATTACGATACATATATTGGGCAAGCTTCGCGCTATTCTGCGCTGAGCATCCAAGTTATTACATACATATATACACACGCCAGCATAAGGGCATACCAAGTAATTATTTGTCTTTTTTTTCGTCTCCTCTTTGTGCCTAGAGCGTGTACAAGCACCTGCACTCATGCATTCCAAAGCCGCACAGTGCCTACGAGACAAAATCCGCCATCTACAACTTTCAACAACTTCCGTGATCCAAGGATTTAACATTATCCGAAGTTTATAAATCCTATTTTTTATTTATATCTTTTTTACATACATACATGTATATTGGGCAAGCGTCGCGCTATTCTGCGCTGAGCGATCCAAGCTATTACATACATACATATATGCACACGCCCGCATAAGGGCAAGTAATTATTTGCAATTTTTTTTGCCTCCTCTTTGTGCCTAGAGCGTGTACAAGCACCTGCACTTATACATTCCACAGCCGAACAGTGCCGACGAGATAAAATCCGCCACCTACAATTTTAAGGAAATTTCGTGAGCCAAGAATTCAAAATTATCCGAATTTTATTTATCCTATTTTCATTTAGGTGAAAGAAATACAAATTTACACACATACCTCCATACATACAAGCTTCGCGCTATTCTGCGCTGAGCATCGAAACCCAAACACATACGCGTGTTTTTAATTGTCTTCGATTTAACCGCCGCAACGGCTGTGTTGTTGCCACCCCTTAAGTTCTTTGGGTCCCTCACTCATCACTGCTTTGCCGACGGCTTATCCCAGTCAGCTCTTCTCCGCGACCAAAAACGGATGTTGGGTTTTTAAATACTACCTTCCTAGCGTTTAAAAAATTAAACATCTGCGCTCAGAGTTAAACATTCATTAACAGATCCAGAATTTGAATTTAATTAATTAATTTAAGTTAATTAATTTTTAATTCAATCTTTCCAACTGAGCCGCCGCAACGGTCGTGTTGTTCCTTCCTCTTGTTTCTTTTTGAGTTCACATATGCACTGCTTTGCCGACGGCATGACCCATTGAGTTGTCTCTCAAACAAAAGCCAAGGGTTTATTTCGACCATTTCGGATCCGTGATAAATAAAGTTGGCAACAATTACTTCCGACCAATACGTTCCTAAATCCGTATTTAATTTATTACGGGATAAATCCACAATTCGTGCCCAATTTTCTGAGCAAAATATAAGCAAACCTCCACGTCCGAAATATATTATATATTCTAAAATACACAAGACTTCTAATTTCGGATTAAAATTATTCCAATAATTTAATTACGGCCGATTCCGTCAATTCGTTTGGGAAGATCCCAACTTGCATCTCCGCGACCCTCTCCGCTTAAAGCAAAGGCCACTGCTGTCCGCTCAAGAGCAAACAGCTTTAAATACTAGCCCAGCTCCATCACTCACGGACGACCACAAAAATGGCTCAAACCGCCATCGACATTGCGTTTAGGAAGTTTATTGCCTCGACAGATCGTGTGAGTCAATTTGAGGCACAGATCCAAACTCTAGGCGCCCCAGAAATCACCCAGCCCTCTCCGTCCACGTGTAAAGTGCGTCGCGACCAAATCCGGGCTTTGTGGGAAAAGGTGGAGAAGAGTTACGAGAGCTGCTCCGAACTGCTCTCCGTGTCTGACGACGGCGCGGACACTTCAACGGTGTTAGAAGCTAAGTATAGCTACTGCTACTCCGTTTATTCCAGGTGTGTGGCCCAGCTGCAGGAGATAATAGAAAGGGGCGCGGCCCAGTCAACTCTGGCTTCCAGCAGCGGCCACACACCCCCTTCCACCGGTTGTCGTTTACCACCGGTAGACACCGAGGTGTTTGCGGGCGACTATCTTCGTTGGCCCACGTTCAGAGACCTTTTCACGGCGGTTTATATTCACAACTCGCGTCTCACCCCGGTGGAGAAATTGTTCCACCTACTATCCAAGACAACTGGCGAAGCGCACGCAATTGTTTCCAAAGCCCCGCTCACCAATGAGGGGTTCGTCGCAGCTTGGCAAAGCCTCACCGACCGCTTCGAGAACCGGCGGTTGTTGGTCAACAGCCAGTTGAAAATCCTCTTCAACATCCAGGCTGTCCCTCAAGAATCGGGAGTCGCGCTAAAAGACCTGCAAGGCACCATCCAAAGCTGCCTGACCGCCCTAGAGATGTCCTCCATTCAAGTTGAGGCTTGGGATAGTCTTTTGGTGTATATGGTTTCCTCAAAGCTTCCCGAAGTAACCCTTTCTCTGTGGGAACAATCCATCCACAACAAAGACAGAGTTCCGACTTGGAACGAGCTAGACGCGTTCTGACCGAACGCCATCGTACGCTGGAGGCCATCGCCGACGTTACGACTACCAACTCAAGGCATTTTCCGCCAAAATTGTCGACTCCGAGGGCCCCAGCGCCCCGGCTTCATTCTTCCGACTTCAGAGTGACTCCAACACCCAGACCCAGAAGGTGTGACCTATGTTCCATGGAAAACCACCCCCTGCGAAGATGTCCCCGTTTCCTTAAAATGACCGTAGTCGAGAGGTCAAATATCATCCGAAGAAAGCAACTCTGCTTGAATGTTTGGCACGAGGCCATCAGCAGCGGGATTGCCCCAGTGCCCACTCCTGCCTTACATGCCGCAAACGGCATCACACCCTGCTGCATCCCAGAAACTGTTCCTCCAGTGTTCAGATTGCTCCTGAACCTTCCAGCCCAGTAACCGCACCGATCCAAAGGATATCCGCGTTCTCCACGCGAATCACTTCTTCCAACGCCTTAAATTACTGGGTACCCTACGACATCAAGAGCAGACGTTCCCGAGGTATTTTATCCTACCCATGCCGAGTCTGCAGCGGAGTCCATCCGCTTCGAAAATGCCACAAGTTCCTTAGGCTTAGTGCTGAGAAAAGGCTCAGCGCGGTGTCCACCAACCGCTACTGTTCGAACTGTTTGGCCCACGAACATTCCCAGGGCAAGTGCCGCAGTGGTGACCGATGCAAGACGTGCAATCAGCTTCACCACACGCTCCTGCATATGCCTGGAAGCCCAGTTCCCGCACCCCGATCGCAGCATCGGATGACTCCGTGCTCCCAATTCGCGTTATTTCCTGACCAATCTTCTAAATGATATACTTTTTCCAGTCCGCTTCGAGAAGATGCCACCGCTTCGCACCACGCGAACGCTCTGATCAGAGGTCCAATACAACCGATTCCGAGGTTGCCACCGGACTTCATCCGCTACCGACGTCGACGGCACCTCTACCATCCTGCGCCTCCCCCGACACTCCTCAGCCACTCCACGGCTTTCGTCCACCGCTCCTCAACTGCACTCCGGTGCGCATAGGCAATTTCCGCGCTGGCCAGGACACCCTGCAGAACGCGGCAGCGCTTATACAGGACGAATATGTTGCAACCCGAGTGATTGCAAGGGGGGGAGAATGTTCACGTCAGAAGGCCCTTCGCGGCGGCCGCGGCGCCGCCTCTGTCCGTCGAGCCTCCAAAGCTTTGGCCGCTCTTGCACTCCCGCAAGTCGGCTCTTCGCGCACTGCTTATCGGGCTAGTCTAAGCGCCCCGCGCCACTCTTCGATGTTCGCGAACGCCCGCTCCCGAGTTCCCGAGCTTCGCTCGCTGCTAACCGAGCTGAGGGACGGCTAGTTCGAGCTCCACTTCTCGGGCCCGCTCTCGCACTGTTAAGCGTAGCTTATCGGTCGGGAGCGCGGCCCTTACATTTAAGCTATTTAGTCTTATGTATGCAGCGCAATAAAGCTGACCATTTGATTGCCCACGACGCCCCGTCTTTTACTTTTCACCTTCGCTTGCGACGTGGGAATTTCCATTGGGCTACC